GTGTACTATAGCTATGCTTCCGGACTCTTCTGGTACTGTCTAGGACAATCCGTACTACTCCAGAACGGTCTAGACAGGTCTATGCCTTACTCATCTCTTACTCATCCTATGGTGCGATACGTCGCAATTCTTTCGTCATTGTATTATTCATCGCACTATGGTACATGTGACTAACCACTCTTCGATTAGTCATGGACACTTCACTGTAGTATATAAGGACTTCAGATTGCGTCCTCCCTCTTCAGTCTTTCCTTACTGACTGAAGAGTGAGTACTTCGTTACATCTATCTCTAACTTGTAGTTACTTACTTGACCTTTGTAGTCTTGCTTCGACTCTAGGTACAGTTCGTTGCTGCAATATAGTCTTTCCTTACTGACTGAAGATCTTGCTTCGACTCTAGTCGGATCTAATCCTTGTCTTCACAGCCCCGAGTTTATCACAATATCTCGAGAACTAGGCTCCAACTTGAAAATCGCCACGAGAGAACTTGTGCATTCAATGTCTAAGATACCCCTTCACCACTCTGCTCGGTCATAATGGGAGGTTTCGGGGAGAGATCTTTCTTTTACACGTTGACCGCCCTTCAGCCACCAGCATTCCATTTGGCCGTCCTGCCGTCTGATCAAGCCGTAGATTATCATGCAATTCGAGCCCCGAGGCATAAGCGAAGGCCGGGCGCTCTGACGCGCGCCTCCTCGGTTAACCCGATCCCCACTGCCACGCAGACGCGACGAACATGGGCGCTTACACGAATACACCATAACCACTACGAGCCCGGCACGCCGCCCTGAATTTCCTTGAGATGAGTACCATCGCTACATTTTGACTTGGGTCTTGACGTCCCTGACTTGTTAGTTCGCAGCAGTCCTCTGGTCAAAGTCGGGTCGGCTAATCGATGTTGGATTCTGCTGTCGTAGCTGTATGCTATGATAGTTATCGTCCATTGCAGACTTCTCGAGAGTCCATATGCTCCCATACCATCACAAGTCACTCCAGAGCGTAGGCTCCGCGCAGATATCCGGTCCTTCTCGCACGCAGTCTGTACGGGTCTATCACGGCTAGATTCCTTACATATTTCCACTTCCCAACTTCGAGGTCTGCGACGTCGGATATCTGCACTCTGGGCCTAGGCCTTGAGTTTTACAGTATAGGGCGACGACGCAAAGCCGGTGAGAACAACTGGAATTTTAGCGGGGCTGATAGGTCGTTAGCCAGCATAAGGCCTCGACCCTTCATGTCGATGGAAGATGCTGGTCAGCAACACTGCCGGGTACTAATTCGGCAGAATGAATTCTTCGAAGGTTGTCCCACTCATTTCTGTTCCTGTACGCCTCAGCGGCTGCTCACAGTCTAGCCCTTCGACGACTTCCCATTGGCCAAGCGGCCGTGTTCTCGGCTCAAGTTCCATGTACAAGCGCCAGAGCATCGACAACTGGACCCCACCGCCAACGTCTAGAACAAAAATGGCGCCCTTTGAATGCGCAATGCTGGCCCGACACTCCGTCTACAAGAAGTTATGCGTGAGTATCATCTCCAGATTGTTTTTCAGGTGATGCTTGTTCGGTCTCGAGTTCATAACCTGATTCATTCACATCAGGTATGGTGTCGACCGAATACCTGATAGGCTACAATCTACTTAGGCGAAATCTCTAATACCTCTGCTAAATTCAAGTGTCCACGTCCGGGTCGAAGGTCAAAAACCGCTTTCTCTACATGTATAACTCGCACTGGAAAGGTCGAGGCACAGACACTTTCAGATTCTCACCAGAACCGCGGAAGACAGAATGCGCTCAGACATGCTCACTGAGCCTCATCTGAGGTGAGAGGTACGTCGCCGCCCTAATCTCGCTGTGCGAAAGGCTAGCAGGCGAGTTTCCAAGTTGCTTTCGCCGGTTCAATTGGCGCTGAAATAACAACGGACCAATTGCTGTTGAGAAGGGCGCCACGCCTGATTGGCCCTCCCTGATAGAACAGCATCGTAAGGCCCAGACTCATGAGCTAGGCTCACTGTCTCTCGGTACGTTTCTGTCTTCGTTTTTTGCTCTCTGAAACAGATTATAGGAACGCAAATGGCTCATTTTCCCCCTCACCCACGTGTAGGTACGATGATGGCCCCTGGGCCGGTCAATGAAATTTTACAAGTCTCAAGCACAGATCGAACTCAAACAAGAGAGGTGTCACCAGGTGTAAGCAGGCCACGAATGTTGCGGTGTTCACTGATACACAAATAGAACGCCGGAAAGCTAGAATTACATTCTCGAAAACCCAATGTTCGCGTGACGTGACTAAGGCTGTCCTGGAGGCGAGGGCCACAGCGCATGAGTATAAACGGGTGTTATCCAGTGTCGCCTAGGTTTGTCTCACTCCCTCGCAATGGCCCCCGTAAGCATTTGCGTCGCGGATCGCCCAAAGCCAGTCACCTCCCTCGCATTGCCTTCACCCCCCCATAGCTCTATCCCAGCTGCTGTGGGAGGCGTGATCTTCGGAGGTTAGTGCTCACGATCATACGCCAACGTGGGCATCTTCTGATTCGTGCTTCCAGTGATGTTCATTGCGCTCATCGCGTTTGCTTTTTACTACGCCAATGTGTGCCAATACGAATCGAACACTTCCACCCCGGGTCACCGAGGCGACTTCTTCCGCAACATGCGCTCAGCTGTCAGCTTCCAACCCACTGCACCTATCCTCCCGCTGAGCGTACGCACCGATGCGATCCTCCGGACACTGAACTTCCACACCGCTCCACGCACCCCGACTCCACGTGATTCGCGGACAGGATATACCATTCCTCCTCCCTACGAACACCCTCCTTCCTACGAAACGTCTATTAGTGACCACGGTGGTAGCGTCGCATCTCCTATCTCGCCGTTCACTCAGTGCCCGGCCCCCAGTGAACATCTTGTGATGGAGTCCGCCGCTGGGCCCGCGACTTCTTGAGACTCAACGTCTTTCCGGAGAATCCCGCAACACGATACCCATGCACTCTTCAGTCACGATAGGGTAAAGGATAAGGAGCGGATGTTAGTGTGGATGGTAACGATACAGCCCGAGTCGAAATATGGTTCAAAGACCCTCAGTTCCCTCTTCCTTTGCTCACGTTTTGTCATTCATATACCCTAGGCCTCCCCTGTCATGCCCCCTCACAGGATGTGGCTAGCAGTATCGCCTCCTGCCTAATACCTGATGCGGCTGCGTACTATGCAATACACCTTCTCTTTCTAGACAGGGCTCGTGCGTCCTGTTTGTTGTGGAGGGCTACGCCTCGAGGCTTTCTACGTAAAACCTGGGTCAAGAGCTGCACCGCTGCACCGGCCCGGCATTCCATCACAACGTGCGATGTATTGGCTCGCAACTACGCACAGTGCAGATCACCCGTTTGGGGCGACGACATTTATTCGCACGTAAATGACTTATTCGGGTGATCAATCAGTCAGCTTCATTACGGAGACTGATCGCTTCTTGACAGTTCTCCCACACGCCTCAGTGAGAACGCGACAACTACCTGCTCAAGCGCCGCCAGACTCCTGCACGAATCCAACCCGCTAGTGTCCACGATCACTGACCTTTACCCTCAAAATAGACCGAACCACAGTTGATTCCTCGCGTGGGTAGCCATGAGGCTGCCTTCCCGAGCGAACACCGTGCGCTTGAGAGCGTGTACAGTGGTCTCAAGGATGTACCAGCGTACTAGTCCTCCCCAAGCGTCACTTCTTCGTTTCACGCCCCTCGCCAAGACGTCCTGGGTGAGTGCGATGCATATTCGCAGTCTGTTTCGTTCAAATTTGACATACACTCAACCTGCCCCAGGCCACAGTAATCGTCCGTTGCATGGAAGCTCTTACCAAACCGCAACCGGAAAAGCTCCCAATTCTGCATGTCAAACGCATTCTGGCACCTATCCTGGGATGACGTCCATGGAGTCAAATCCTGAGCATCTCAGTAAGCAGAAGTCGTTCTTCGGCATCTCAAGCTACCACCATTTCAATGGAAGGAAGATTAGCGTGATGCGGAGCATCGACAAACAATCATCCGCCGTCCGCTCTACTTCCGCAGGTCACCAGCCTGCTTATGAGTCCCCTTTGCAGGTACAAATCGTCCGCCCCTCCTTCTGTATGACGGCGTAGCTCTTCCTCTCTCCGCTAATACGACATGCCCGTCGTACCGCGAGCCCTAGATGATGGCGACGGTTCAGAGATCACCTCGCCGAAGGTGGCAAGCAAGACTGTTGTCGGAATGGTCCTTGGCGTATGTGAGTCAAGTTTCACTTCTTCCTCAACTACGACTCATGACCGACGTGTCTCGGTGGATAGTATGCCTGTTCACCATGGTCCTCAGCTACCAGCTGATTTCCTGCTCGTGGAGGAAGCAGCGTCAAGCCTCCCTTGGCGTGCCGCACAGCGGCTCGTCAGCCATCCACACAACCCACACTCATTCGGAACCAACACCCTCCTTTCACACCTTTTTTCAAAGGTTCCTGCGGCTATTCTCATATCCTCGCGACAACGGAGAGGCCTCGGAGAAGGGTGTTCCATCTCCAGGACCGAGAGATAGACCGCGACCGCTGCGGGCTCTTCTACTCTCCTTCACACATGATCACAGTCCCTCTTCTGGCCCAACGGAGTCATCACATGCTTTTCAACGGACTCCTCACCCCACAATCCGCGAGCGAAGAGCGTTGCGGGCTCTGCGACTGAACACTACCCTTTCGACCTCCCCTCGTAAACAATACCCTAGCACACCGTCCCCGCTCGCGTCGTCGCGCAAGCGTATAGGTCGTCTCTTCCTTTTCGGTCCTACTACCCCAGACACCCCGACGCCCCTTCCACCTTACCTTTCTCCGACCTCACCATTCAGTCGCCGCCACTACGCGAAGCTCGACGATTCCTTGTACTCTGACTGGTCGAATAACGCCAAGTATCATACAGAGCGGCCGCCGGAGGCCATTCTCTCGCCCTGGTCTCCAAACGAGCATGAGTATCCCTATCCACCGTACTCGCCTCTGGACGTCAATTCTCTGAGCGGGTTTCCCGGTACCCCTCCCCCTTTGTATCCTCCCCCTCCCGCATACCTTCCCGAGGTGCCCACACGGGCTACGAGAAGCAACCCCACCACTCCGACACGCCCACGTACTTCTCGCAATGGTGCAGCTAGCACGCTGGTCCCACCTGTTTCGCCTATCGTTTCTTCTCTGAATGAGGAGATCGACGGGGAGATCGGCGGCTGGGACATGACATCAGAGATTCGGGCGGCATTTGCTCACACAGCTAACACTTGTGAAGATGATGATGTGTTCGTCATATCCAACGAGTCCGACGAGGACGGTGCGTCGTCGGAGCTGGACACAGTCAGCCTCCGCACGGATGAGTCCATAGAGCCCTTCACCTTATAGCATAGTGGCGAGGGATCGAGTTTTCTTGCATTGCCGCTGTACACTTCCCTTCTGTATTCTCCATTGCGTTGTAAGATCAAGGATTCGCACCGAGATACGTATTTAGTATAACTGAGCATACAGGTACCTGAGGCCCGGTGTGCATCTGTTCGTTTTTCGAAGACAAAGATGGTACATAGGTGCAAGAATATGATGCGATTTGTATGATTCATACTGGGAATGCGGTGTTAGCATCCTCCTCCAACCCCCTCGCCTTAACACTCCGCAGTATAGTACCCATTAGAGAAGCGTAGAGGCCGTGGAACGGTCGGATGTCGGAACAGGATATGCGAGTAGGAGGGAACAACGTTTGTTACGATTGGTGTGGCGCAGAGCGCGTTGCGGCGCTGTTCTATCGGCGAGTCAGCACTCCACTGACCAGTAAAATACCAGAGACCTCTCGTGATGCTCACTTCAACTTCATTGCGAACGTCGCCCTTCGGTCGCTGGGGCAGGCAGGTTGACCTGCATCGACGGTGCAGCCCCTACCAAGCACCCAACCGCGACCGTAGTGGCCCGCATTGCCCAGCCGTCTTGAGCGAGAACCGCTTTCTGCACCTTTCTCCACAACTTCCCGGCTTTCTTCCCCCGAGACGGTAATTGCGGTCGTGATCCGGAGGCTTCGTGCTCACAATCGTGCACTAACGTCTGTGGCACAGCGATCTCCCTGCACGGCGGCGCCTCGTGGTACTCCTCAGAGCCCTCAGTACAGTCGGACCCTGCAGTGCTCTCGACATGGTCGCAGCGAGCCGACCGAAAGTGCCGGACGGCAGAGGCGAGGTCCCTGAAGGAGCCCGATAGCATGAAGAAGCCTGAGGCGAGCACCATGCAAAGAAAGAATGCTGAAGAGTTCGCATAAGCACTGCGCACAAATCAACGCAAATGAGACGCACCGATCGCTAAGGCCATTCTGATATAAGTGGTGAGGTCGCCTGCAGGGGAAGGGCAGCAATTGTTGTAGTTGATTGTCCCATTACCACTGTGGATCGCGGGGTAGGTGTTGCTGACGTTCGTCATTTCGGTAGAGTAGATGGTAAGACTTTGAAGCTCAAAGGCGAGAAAAACTTGTGCAACATTCTCGTGACCCACCAGTGTTGCTCATATATACTATACGTATTCGGCTCAAATGAGGACGATCACGCAGATATCCCTTTGAAGCTCGTAGCTGTATGCAATGATGTGTTCTGGATAGAAGGCTCAAGGCCAGTTTGGCGGCGTTTCGAAGTTACTTCGAGCCGCTCTAAGGTGATGGACAGGGTACCGCGGGATATCTGGCTGCATTGGGATCGTGGGAAAAGGAACCTCGCAGATATCCCAGAGTTCAGATATCCGGATAGCGGCATATTCTAGGGAGGCAACCATGAGGTATATGTACATACCACACGAACGTGATATCCAGCGTCCGCTTAGCGAACTAGGGGGTACCTGGTCAATGGGACGGCACCACACCGCGACACAGATTGTAATGTGAAGGACGCACCATGGACGGTCTCCTCCATGAAGCACCTCGGCAGACGACTTGGCTTGAGCTACCAACATGCGAAGCGCGAATACGTTGCAGGGGTCGAGATGTGAACGGAGAGCATGGAGGAGTCATCGCATCCTCGCGTTGTGACGGTGATGGTACTTGAAGAGATTGATAGACCTAGTAGTGCATATCTACCGACAGCTAACAGAGCCAGAATAAGATGCGGGTCATTCCACGCGGCCTCGCGTTTGCGAAAAGACATGAGAGGCGACATCCACGGAATGCGTCGATTGCGAAAGGCGGCCATGGTGGCAGGAGGCAAGGTAGCTCGGCTGCGGCTGCGATCAAGACAAAACGGGCGTTCAGGGGAGTGCAGGCGCCTAGCACCGGGCACCTGATTGAACGATTCACGCCGTAACATCCAAGCTTACCACCACTTCGTGCATGGGCCCAGCTTGGTCTCCCTTCCTGATCCAAGCCACGAAAGCTCCTCTCCTTGTTTGGTTGACCTAGTGTCACGCAATTCAGCATGGCATTCTCAGCGTCCACCAAACGAGCCATTTTTGATGGTGAGTACTGCTCCGTTCGTGCCACCCGAAACCCTCTTATGCTCAAATATCCATCATCACGTCAGTCGCGATTTTTGCTGCTTCTCAAGTACGTTTCACGCTCTATCTGCTCGTATGATGGCTCATCGTGCATGAAAGGTAGCTTTGTACTATACGCTAAGAGTGCGTGTTGTCCCCGCAACAACCAGCACGTGGGTACTCACTTTTAGTCGGACAGTGGGTAATGGACTCGTTGTCTCCTGTTGAGCGTAAGGAGGTCAAGCAGAAGAGCTTGAAAGCGCTGGAGAGTTTGGGTCATAAGGACCTGAAGCTGGATGAGTACGAGAGTACGTCGTCTCGCTCTTTCTCTCCGTACATACCTTCATGTTCCCACAGGCCAAATCGCTTCTGAGGTCATCCATCCGGACGACATCGATATTCGTTTTTCTGGTGCGTTTGCCTTGCTCTCGTAAGTTTTAATCCCTTCCTTATGTTCGTCTATGCGCGTCACGAAGACATTGGCGGCCTGGACCCGATCATATCCTCCCTCCGCGAGTCCGTCATCTATCCACTCCTGTACCCTCATCTCTTCTCGTCATCCTCCCTCCTCGGCGCCCCGAAAGGTGTTCTACTATTTGGCCCGCCCGGATGCGGCAAGACGATGCTCGCCAAAGCGCTCGCCAAAGAGTCCGGCGCAACGTTCATCAACATCGCCGCGTCGGTGCTCACGAACAAGTGGTATGGCGAATCCAACAAGCTCGTCGCAGGCCTTTTCTCCTTGGCAAGGAAAGCGCAGCCGAGCATCGTGTTCATTGACGAGATCGACTCGTTCTTGCGGGAGCGGACGAAGGGCGACCACGAAGTGACGGGGATGATGAAGGCCGAGTTCATGACGTGAGTGCTCTTCTTGTACCCTTAAGACGTGCTCCGTCTGCGTATTCATCGGAGTGCGTCCGGATATCCAGCCTCTGGGACGGCTTGACGTCGGGTAGCGATCGTATATTGATTCTGGGCGCGACAAACCGGCCGAATGACATCGACTCTGCCATCCTCCGCCGTATGCCTAAACGTTTCTCCATTGGGCTTCCTGACGTAGAGCAACGGCATAAGATTCTCACCCTTGTGTGTACCTATCCCCTTCCGCGTTCCATGCCGGCATACCTGATCACCTGCCGCAGATGCTCAAGGACACGACGCTCGAGCAGGGCTTCTCTATCCGGTTACTGGCAGAACAGTCCGAGGGACTGTCTGGATCCGACCTCAAAGAGCTCTGCCGTAATGCCGCGATGCGCCCAATGCGCGAGTTCATGCGAGAAGCGAACGGCGACCACGAGAAGCTCGCACTGTGCGAGAAGGAGGTGCGCGGCCCTTCCTATGGTCCACCACGAGCGACGTTGTGTCTGACTACCATACCTGTTGCAGGGCTTCGAGCTGCGTCCACTGACACTGGACGACTTCTTCCAGCCAGAGGGGACCAGCATGCTCCCTCTTGACTGACCGCTGACATGCGGTGGTCCTCTATCTCCACGGGTTTTGGTAATGCTAGATGGGTGCTGTGACGATTTGTCTACAACACGACCTGCACGATGTACATGTATGCAAGTAACTTATCGACGTTCTAATGACAGCTAGATCTCGATTCTTCCTCGTTCCTGCGAGTTTGTGCTCTTGGAGTCGCGTCCCTTCCTGTCTAGCGATGCCGGTCTAGATCAAGAATTTCCTATGGTCCGCGGGTTATCCGAGGCTGCCCAGGCTCCGACAGCTAGGTGCGATATCATCTGGATGACTGGCTGGTGGCGTTGAGGGAGTTGGCTTGCGGTACTGCGGTAGGTCTGATGTGGATTATCGACAGATATCTGTACAGCGACACTGAGGATCCACAATCCACCTCTCATCGGTATGTTCCGGTAGACGACATACCACAGGAAGGAGACTTCAGCGACAGGCGGTCGGCTTGGAGGGTCCAACCCTGCAACGACGTGGATCGCACTGACCATGTGAGCTCAAGGCTGCAGATACTGCGGTCCATGCCCAACACCTTGAGGAGATATTCAGCCGTGATACCGAGGTCGTCAAAGCTGAGCGCTGACCCTGGAGCTAATAGCCTCGGGTTTGCCCGCGATTAGAAGATCATCAAACAAACCTCGAGCTAATGTCATGCAGCCGCTTACTGTTACGACATCTTTTGCGCTTCGGGGCTTCAACTCCATGGACATTGGGATGCGTCGATTTCAAAACAAAGAGGCTACATGATGGATTACATTGCGATCAAGATGGGCGTACTAGATCTATGGAACACCGGACACAAACGGTTTACAGGGAGAAGCGATCCGAATACTGTCTAGATGCTAAGTACGTGTGCTCCAGCAGGAGTCGACCATCTCACAAGGTCTGGGTGCTGCACTTCGGACAAACTTCCAACGTAACCGGGTCTGCCCCATAATCGATGGTCAGGACACTAGTCTACGGAACGACTCCGGGACGTCTCTTGCCCTCTGCGCCCCAGGAGCATCACCCTCGGAGCCAAGGAGATGTCGATGAATATTAATATGAATGCTCTACTCGTGGGACTGATGTGATGGAGCACCGGGGTCTATTATACCATCCACTATTGCAAGCACGTATGACATTATGCAAGTCCAACGCGAAGTCCACGTCGAGGATATCTCGGCGTACGCTGAATTCCCGAGATGGCGAAGGTCACGTATTGGGAGCCGAGGGATTGGTTTCAGGATCCTAACGTTTGGTGGCAATCGTCCCAGAACACAGAACGTGAGTGTGCTGCCTGCGGACTCTGCCCGTCCACCCCTTGTGGAGACACCGTCAAACGCGCCTCAATGTTCAACGTCTGAGCACGTTGGTCACGATACAGGCTCTGTTCTAGGGTGTGCTCGTACTCAATGGCGATGATCTTGTCCCGGGGAGAGGATTCTGCGGACTGCTCTTGCAGGTTTGTATGGACATTGGACATGAACTAAGAAGCTCGCAATCGCCCTTGCTGTCGAGCCCCATGATTGCTGGTAGTTTCGCTTGTAATCACATACATCGATGGTAGTGAAGCCTGATGCATGCGCACAGTTACAATGCAAGTTATTATTATTATTATTATTTTCTTGTCTTATACCAAACATAGCTACAAAGTACGGTAGGTATGTAAGTAAGCGTTCTATCCGAGATTGTTTGACATTTCCACCCAGCGCGTCACTTAAGACTTGCACCAGCGTGCCCGGACCACGACCGAAGTCAGCGTGTGGAGTAAGGACCCGCACCTACCCGCTCACACCATATCTGCTGACGGCGACCCGGAGTCGCCGTCCCCATCCGTAAAGAGAGTGGTCGCCGTCGAGGAGGAGGACGACGACGAGGGGGGGGGAATGAAGTGTCGCCAAACTATCCGCCCGGCTAGTTCGGTGACGGTGAGGGGATAAGACCGGGATAGTCGCCCATCCGGTCGTAGGAGCTTGCGGGCTTTCCGTCCGTCCGGCCGCATCCGGAACGGGGCGTACTTGTGGCCTCGCGCAAGTAGGCGCCGCCGGTCGTGCCGGCAGCGCTGGGGGAGGATGGACTCGTGACCGAAGTCCAGTAGGAGGAGGAGCGCCCGGGGCAAAGGGCGAATGTGCGCGTGCTCAAGGAACTGCGTTGCGATGGCCGCGCGGTCATCTTGGCGGCACGTGAGGGGGAAGTCACGCCACAGACGCCTGGAAAGGGCCTCGTGACGGAGGGAGAGCTCAGCGAGGCGTTTGATGGCCTGGCTGAGGGGGAGGGGAGTTACAATGCAAGTGGAGAATGATTGAGTATGCTTGAGCCAAATCGTCCCGTCTATATACAGTAAAACATTTTCCCACGATTAGATTACGACCCAAATCCGCCATGTCCGCCTGAGCCCTCTTCGTCCGAGGAGTCTTGACTTATCTCTATCTATTCGTGTTTATGATCGTGGCAGCAACATGGTACGCTGCACATTGCGGCCTATGTCATACATACATGCATACTGACTATGCATAGACGGTGTGTACGGATTGCGGAGGGACGGTCATCGAGTATGATGCTGCTGCGGGAAACGGGTTCTGCGTGCAGTGCGGCACGGTGGTCGAGGAGAATACGATTGTAAATGAGGTGTGTCATGACCTATATAGCTGTGTCTGCGCCCCCAACTCAGGATTGTTTGTAGGTGACGTTCGGAGAGACAAGCACAGGCGCGGCTATGGTGCAGGGGAGTTTCGTAGCGCAGGGTGCAAGTACGTCTCTATTCTTTATTCGCTGAGTATACGGCTTGCCATGCTCACACCCCATAGCGCGCGCGCGGATGGGCGGGATGTTTGGCAACAGGGGAAACACGGAAAGCAGAGAGCAGACAATCGCTAATGGTGAATCAAGCACTTCGTCCCGCGTGCGCCCTCTGACGTCGGCCCAGCGAGTCGGAAAATCCAGCAAGTCGCGACCGCATTGAGGTTGTCCGAAGTCGTCTCGCTTGCCGCGACACGGCTGTACACCCTCGCAGTTGAGCACAAGTTCACGAAAGGGCGGAAGAGCATGAATGTCGTGGCCGTGTGCCTCTACGTCGCGTGTAGGCAGAAGGAGACGAGGAACTATATGCTCATTGACTTCTCGGATCTACTACAAGTGCGTCTCTTGTCTATCCTGCACTGTCGTTTCCTTACTAATGCTTCGCGCCAAAGGTTAACGTCTTTGAACTCGGTCATACATACCTCCAACTCGTCCAGACCCTCAACCTCCGCCTCCCCCTTGTCGATCCTTCGCACTACATTTCTCGCTTTGCTGCGCTCCTCGAGTTCGGTGAAGAGACCCACCAGGTCGCCATGGACGCCATACGCCTTGTCCAACGGTTTGACCGCGACTGGATGACGAAAGGTCGACGGCCAGCCGGCATTTGCGGCGCATGTCTCCTGCTTGCCGCGCGCATGAACAACTTCCGGCGGAGCGTCGCGGAGATCGTTCAGGTGGTGAAGATTGCGGACACGACGCTGAAGAAGCGTCTGGAGGAGTTCAGAAAGACACCTAGCGGCGCGCTCACGCTCGCCGACTTCCGGACGGTGTGGCTCGAGGAGGAGATGGACCCCCCTGCGTACACGAAGGGGAAGGAGAAGGAAGAGAAGGAGCGCGTGATTGCTGAGAACGGTGGGGTTGACCCGGATCAGGCGAGGGGTAAAGGGAAGGGGAAGGGAAGGCGCAAGAAACGGAAGCGCGGAGAAAGCGACGAGGAAGAGGAGATGGCGAGCGCTGCTCAGTACTCGCAGTTCGACGGTGCGGGTCCTTCCCCACACCATCCACCCCCGTTTCATCAGGCACTCGACGCCGCCCTGCTCAATGAGGGTATCCTTGCTGGTACCTCTCAGCCTCTTCCGCTGTTCCTTCCGGATGAGGTCGAAGACATGCAGTATGGCATGCGCCCTCCCCAGCACCCGCAACAGCAGCCACTGCCAATAGACCCGTCGCTGCTAGATCCGGAACGTACCTTAGTCAATCCGTCCCAGCCATCGCAGTTGCAGCTGCTACCTCCTCTTCGACCACAGCCTCCCCCGTCCAACGACCCTCCCCCAGACAAAGCACTCTCGATGCCCGTGCGCGCGCCGTCTCCCATCGAGGAAACCGTTGATGCGGCTGTAACGCAAGAGGTCACCGACTTCCTCGAGAGCGCGCAGAGCACGCTGCTCAACTCGGCGCTCGATGAGGCGGAACAGCGACGACATGCGCATTACGCTGGGGACGACGAGCTCCTTGGGCTCGACGAAGAGGAGCTGGATCGCTTTATCCTGACTGAGGAAGAAGTGCGCATCAAAGAGCGCATATGGGTCGAGATGAACAAGGACTATCTGGAAGCCATCGCAGGTAAGCGACTCGCGCAGAATACATGTGTGCAGATATATCGCGCACGACCGTGTGCGTTGTCGCTGAACGGTATGGAACAGCGAAGGCGGAACAACAAGAGGGCCAGGAGAAAGAGAAAAAGTCACGCAAGGTTCGTATCCCGATCTGGCAGAAATTCCGCACATATTTCCGTTGTTTGGGAACTTATTTGCACATGTTGATTCCTGGTGGCGAAGTCTCGTCTCCTTCGCCGCACGAGCTGATAGCGTCCATTTTCACAGCGACGGAAAACGAACAACAAGCCTCGGGACGCATCGACGCCTCATGGGAGCACCGCTGCGGAGTCCGTGCGCAACCTCATCAAGAAGAACCCCAAATACAGCAAACGGATCAACTACAACGCGCTCAAGGAGCTCTTTACAGACGATGGCCCTTCCTTCCAGCTACCCGGTACGGAGGAGGACAAGGACGACGAGGGTGGACTATACACTATGGACGACAAGAGCGACGGAGAGGGCATGCTCATTGTCGAGGAGGGCGGTGGGGGCGTCGGCCAAGCGCCCCAGTCGAAGTCTCGTTCCGCAAGCCTCGTTCCTGGTGCAAATGCGCTGCCCATATCCAGAAAAGGAACAGCGGTTGTTCATGAAGGGGACGACGAAGAGGACGCTGAAGGCGAGGAGGATGTTGAGGAGGACGCGGAGAAGGACGACACATATGGGGAGTGGGATGTGTATGAGCAGGAAGTTTGACAACATTGTATTCTTATCGAGCGCGATCACTCTTTACATTTGGTCTCTCAAGGAGATCCGAAGACAATTGTTCTCTGGACGAAACAAACCCTCCGCTATACGACTACGCGAAGTCCGGTAGTTTTTAGCCTCGAACGTTTCGCTCACGCGAGCTCCGCAAATGCGATCGTGCTCGTGTTCAGATTATGCTGCACATACCGCCCTTGGAACCACGTCTGCCCGATTTGCCAAGTTGGCGCATCGACCATGGACGATCCGAGGATGTTCGCCGTGCATGTTTTGCCGTCCGCCGTTCGGTTCAGCACATTCGCTCCCAGGTCGATGTAATGCACTTCGGCACTCGGCGGGAAGCTGAAGCCGAACCGCGCTGGCTCGCACGAGCAGTCGTACGTTCCCTGGAAACATCAGTCACTTATGAGGTCAGAGCAGCAATGGGCGCAGTGAGACGATTGCAACGCACGAAGATGTTGGTGACATTGTTATCGTCGGTCGTCTCTATGATTGCGTATCCTACCGACTCAAGAGCAGCGCGAACAGTGTCGAGAGGGCCGATAACGTTCGGCGTCCCGTTGTCGACTGAAAGACCGCAGATACTCATACTCAGCGGCTCATTCCGAGTAAAATGGGGAAGGAAACACACAAATGGGTTGGATGTGGGTGACGACTTGGTCGCCGACCACAAAGAATGGCGAATCGGCCTCGGTATTGTTTACGACCCACCATGCGTCGAACTGTGGCAGGTCATATCAGCGGGGGTCTATCTCCTTCACGAGCTGGAGCACTCACAGCCAGTGTCTTCTGCGTCGTAAGGTTGCCCTTGATTTTGGACTCGTCTGACACGATGTGAAGCGTCAGCCCTGCTACCCATGTTCGATCGAATCTTACGCCATTCACCTATGGGGCCGAAGATGAGGGATCCTGTCCCGTCTGTCTTCAGTGCGAGCCCGAATTCGCAAGGGGAGACTATTAAGCAGAAATGTTAGCAAATCCGAGGACGCAATCGTACCGAGCACTCACTATTCTCCTGATCGCAGATAGCCTGGGCAAGCGACTGTCCTGCGAGGAAAGTTGGGTCATTCGGATCCGTGATTTCGCTCGCAGGCGGACTGAAGCCTATGATGCTGGTAATCCCATGGATGTCTAGCGCTGAGCACCCTAGATTCATCACACAACATACCCATCCTCGTCAAGAGGGTCGCCGTCGGTGATGTTGCCCACCAAGAACCCTGCCAGGGCCACGTCATCGAATGTGACGTTGTCTTTGACAAAGGTAAACGTTTCCTATATACGAGCGGGACGACTGAGCAATGCTCTGTGGCACTCCAAGCCCACGCCTTTCACATGAATATCTGGCAACTCACAGACGCAAACAACGTGCCATCCTCGTTCGCCCCGTTGAACTGGATAAACTCCCCCTGGTTCGTCTGCACCGAGGTCGGGTTCGGCTTATACAGACCTTCGCTTATCAGCACCGCAAAGCTCCCGGTGTCGACTGTCAACTGGAGCGTCCCAACGCATGCATGTTAGCATGGTCAATACGTCGCGGCCAAGCCAAGGGAACTGACACTGAAGTTTTGAGGCCCCACGGAAAAGCGAGCATGCCAAAATCCCTGCAAGGCGACTGTCAGTATGACAGGAAGCTAGCAGGATAGATATCTGGCATCATCGCTTACTCACCTGGGACAAACGCAACGGAACGTCCTTTGGCAATGCAGCAGCGACGAGGCCAACAGCACCTAAGGCGTACAATAACGAAGCAGTGGAGAAGAGCTTCATGGCGATTGCGTGAGTCGCCTCTGCAACTGGCATCTACGCATACATATACCCGGAGTTATAGCTGTGTAGCGGCTAGACCACACGCGGAGCTCGAGGCTGCGTGATGGCAAAGTTGGTCACAGGGCGGCGTCGGCGACCACCACGCCGTGCATCCTCTTCGCTTCTGTGATGTCCTTGGACCACCTGAGGCTGAGGTACGAGGACCGTGAGTCGTACCTGTCTTGACGGCAGCGCATCCCGTTGTGAGAACTCACAATCGACGCAGCCTACGCGGTCCGCGGAATACTCAATGAATGCTGGTATACATTCTGAGACATCTGACGTCTCGTGTAGTCGGAGAGTTTACAACTCCGCCCAACTGGCTACGTAGCCACGCATGCACGCAGTCGCGCGCTCGCTTTTCATCAGCAAAAAAGCGAAAAGGATGGTCAGTGATGACCAGGTTCCGCAATTCTGACCAGATTGGGCAAGGTATGAGAAGTAGATGGTAAACCCGTAGCAAATCCGCCAGATATGGTGTGCAATGGCCAGACATCAGCAAAAGTGCAAAATGATTGGACTTGATTGGCCCAATTGGCTATGGAAGCCAAAATTGGGACAAATTGGACTTGATTCTCTGTGGCGCCAATTGAACATCAGGAAAACGTCACGGACTTGGACCCATACTTGGGCCCAAGTTCATGTACTTGGACTCAAGTCCGTGTACTTGGACTCAAGTCCGTGTACTTGGCCCCAAGTCCATGTACTTGGCCTCAAGTCCGTGTACTTGGCCCCAAGTACACGGACTTGACCCAAGTCTATATACTTGGGGTACTTGGGGTACTTGGGCCACAACTTGGACTTTACATGTTGACTTCAGTATACTCAGGCCTCAATTTGAGCAATTGGTGTTCTATCAGTCACACATCTTGTATACTTCTTATGTAATAATATCTATCATAGACAACCATACACTAGTTGTAAACCAGTCTGTTTTAAGGCCGTAGAAGCAGCTTTATAGTCTATTAGAAGAAGGGCAATAACATGTGATAGAAGACTTTAAGTTGTTACAATGTGCTTGTTTCAGTAGTGATACAGAGGTACAATATCCAGATAATGCTCAAGAATAGTGGTATCAGTGGTGGATGTCCAAGTTCTGCTATGAGGAGAGGATGGTGAAGAATTTCTCGGAGTCCAGCAAAGAGCGCTATATATGGCTGCTATTCTATGCTATAGTGTGAGCTTCTGTAGTGTAGAGGTTGCACATGCTGTGTTGAACACTGAAATTGCAGGTTGCTGGTTCAATTCCCTGTGGTGGCATTTTTTTGCCGCCGCTGCACCCGCTAACAAATATTGTACACTTGACCTTGATCAAGAGCAGCTGTCCTTTGATTGACTTCCATGCAT